TTTTTAAAGTTCCTATGAGAAGGTTCAATATAGACTATATGTTTATATTTTTCTTACAGAGGGAAAATGGGGGGACAAACCCAAAATAAGGAAACAAAACAAAAATATTTGAGGGACTAACCCATAGGCGCATGTAGAGTATATTTCCTGGAACATGTGATATTCCATACAAGCTCAAATACACTGGGTGACACGGAATTACCGGGATTAAATCTGTTCACATATTATATGGGAAATGCCGCTGAAACTGGGAAGTTAGGATTTTCTTTTTCCCCCCCACATCGATATAGTGCTGCTTTAGTCATGTAATTTTTTTTCTGCAAAACTTAACTTTTTAAAATCGGTTACATAAAAATGTAGATTGCTCTAATTTGAATCCTAAAAGTAAGACTGATTTAACTGCTAATTAGTCTAGTTCGTAAGTGACTGTTTATTTAATTGGCCGCTGGATTAGTACAAAGTCCTGCTACCAGAGCTTTGAAGGATCACTGCACCAAACGCATCTGAATTATGTTATTATTCTATGACTCTTTACTAATAAATGTTTAATTCTAATATAATCATACTAATTTAAACTAAGGACTTTTAACATCCCTCTAAACCATATATTTAATCCATTATATGTTGTTGTTGTTTTTTTTGCTGTTCTTTCTTTCAACTTGCAAATAAGCCTTAGGATATGTTTATAATAGCTCATTATAATTCTATCTATGCTTGCTGTAATAAGAACTGCTTGAAACCATTAACAAACAGGGTAAAGAAAATCATTTTCTCAGAACTTCCACTGTTAACCACTAGATGGAACACTTGGAACGTTTTTATTCATGTTCCATCAGATAGTCTGACACATTTTATTACTGCTCTTCAACAGTGCTGTCGTTCTTCCGCTAGATGACGCTAATCACCATCAAAATAACAGGCGCCTCAAGTCACTGCTTTGCATTTTATAGTGAAAATATAATGTAGGCCTATATGTAAATTATTAATCACCAATAACAATACACGTCGCCTGTGAGTTTCACAGTAAATGTTTCCTCAAATTGTAAAATTTTTAAACGATCACATCCCATTTATGATTAGAATAAAGTATTGATATCATTGAATATTTAAATATATTTAGTTATTTCTTATCATCCTAATTATCATCCTTTACCACAGGCTCAGTTTCGATTTTAGTTCAGTTTGTTGAGAAAACCGACTCGATTTACCCACATCCGGGAGTTTCTCTCTCATAGAAATAGAATGAAAGGCTGGAAAAATATTGAAGCTCAGAGGCCTACAGGTTGTCTATAATTATTCAAGTACGATACCTGTTATATACCTGTTTTAACTCTTCACTGTTTATTTTCAATTCAACGACCATTAAAACACATTTCTGTCTTTATTCGTGTGTAAAATATTGTCAAGACGCTGATGAGGTAGAAGGCACGTCACCTGATACCTGTTACTTTTCTCAGCGCTAATCAAGATGGACCAATCACAGTTGATTGTGCTGGCTGATTGAGAATTTAAAAAATAATAATTTTATAAACACCGTTGAGGCAGATTGTGATTTGCATTTCTGTTATGAATCTTTGTAACTCGTAGATTTACAAATATGCATTTTTTTCATCAACCAAATATTTTCAATAAATAAAAACCGTCGTGGGATTTGAACGCGGCTCAATGAGGATTCAGGTTTCTGGGCCGCCGAGCGCCCCCTGTAGGAATAAACCCGTGCGTCTCCTAGGAAACACTCACAGGCCGACAACATTTGCGGTTCAATGAGAATTTATCTCTCTCTCCGATACACACAAGGCATTTTGGGAAACGAGTTTCAGAAATCCGGATTCTGAACGAGAGCTACGCATTCTTACCAGCGCAGCGCGGTGTTCGAGCGCGGAGTTACGGCGAGTGCGCGGCGGTCTGTTTCTTGTGATTATTTCCACAGGGGAGCATGAGTACCCTGCGGGATTAAGGCGGTAGATCAAACCAGTCAGATCACACATCAACTCATCCACAAACGAGCATGGATCGGAGGAAAAGAGAGCTCGTGGAGAGTGAAGACGCGTTTATATGAAGGTTTTGGGGAAGAAATAAGTCGTTTCGGACAACAGAAGGGAAAGTTAAACGGGCAAGTCAAGGAAGAGAAGATCAGCGGTCCATCCAAAGGGCTACCTGTGCTTCACAAGTAAGATCACACAGATTAAATAGATCAAGACAAACCTCATATGTCAAGCTGTAGGTAATTTGATGTAGATGTGTTTCTATACGGTGTGTTTTGGCGGATTCAGCATCTTTATTTGCTCGAGCGACAGTCGCATCAAATGTTACATTGTGTCGTTTCTTTTCAACTTCCTTGGCGAAGTGATGATACAGTGTAACTGTCATTGAAAGAACTGTTCGCTCTAAACTCGAACGCTGGTTTCGTAATAGTTTAACCTCTGGTTTGGTCATAGGTTAAAGTGCTGGTTTTGGTTTAGGCTCTGCTTTATTGATGCTTCTGAACTAGGAAGTGAATTCTGAGATGAGGAAATTTTCTTCAGAAGCTGAAATTTGGTATTTTAATCAGTGCAAGAGCTGTTGATTTAGTGTGTGATGAGTCTGTCATATGAATCACTTTGAAGATGCTCAAGTTTATGAATAATATAAACCTACTGATCAATCATCATCAACTCCTCATTCAGACTGAATGTCTTTCACTCGCTGTAGTTCTCAGTTCTGTTTTTAGATCATCAGATCATGTTCAATTTTTATCAGTAAGACTATTTTAGTTTCAGTAGTTCTAACTTATCTGTGTATCCAGCAATCTGTCTCTAATGGGTCAGTTTGCTCTGAATATACAGTGTAACTGTGTGTGTGTGTGTGCCTACTTAACCATATTTTGGGGACAAATTTGTACCCAAAAGTGTGCAAAACGTGACAAAATCGCCAAAAACCTCCATTTGGGGATGTCCTCATTTGTAAAACTGGTAAAAAAAAATTAAGTAAACAAAGTTGTTGTTTTTTATTGTAAAAATGCAGAAAGTTTTCTGTGAGGGGTAGGGGTGAGTTTAGGTTAAAAAGTTTATAACTATCTGTATATGTGCATAGAGTTTGAGTTCAGTTAGCTTTAGATCAGGTCAGTAGAAGTCCATTGTATGAGCTCATTGAAATTGGAAAAGTGTGTGTGTGTGTTTGTTTGTTTCAACAGTGACGCATTTTCTCCTGAATCTGCAGTCGTTAGTGTCACATGTCTTAAATATTGTATGCATGTTTTGTCATTGTTAACACGGTCCCTAATAGTCTGTTGTGGTTTCAGTAAGTTGTTTCACACATCGGCTCTCTCACCCCACAAGAATCTGTTGCATGCGTATTTGTACGTAAAATCTTGTCAGACTGGTTTTATAAGCGGAGTAATTGCGAAAGTGCAATAACATAATTTGCATAGAATTTCCTGTGTTTGACTTGCACTAAAACATTAATTTTGTATTCATTAGGTCTTTTTCAAGACATTTTGACTGGAAATTCATGTTAAATGTCAAAAAATAATAATGCAATAATTCAGAAATAGTTTATATTTTGTAAATTAATAATTTATTCGATATTTCTTATGATTTTGAGATGAAATATGACCCGGACGTGCTCTTGACAGGCTTTGTGAGATTCACCCACCTATAGTCTAAATTATTTGTGTACATTTATACATGAGAAAAACGAGAGAATCCCAATCCCGTAGCAGAGAGTCTGCGCATGCGCGCTGCTGACTCGCCGTAATATCCTCGCTCATCTGCGCGTGCTGGAGAGAAACGGACTGAATTAAGAACCGAATCAAATAAATAACCGCAGCATATGCATGCTCATCAAACTGCGCTTTAGACACACGCATGCTGTCATCATGAGTCCCGTGAGGAGATGCATGAAAACACTGCGGCAGTTCGGCTGCTGTGTGTGTTTATGCGGCGCGCGACGGCAGCATCAGCATCATCATCATCATCATCCGCTCCAGCCGAATCAGAAGTGACCGAACCGGCACACTGAACCGCGCGGACCGACCGAACCGCACCGCGCATCCGGACGGCAGCGTTTCAGCAGCCGGGATCTTTCTTTATCATCCATCCCGATGCTTTTGTCGATTGACCGCAGCTGAGACCCACATCGGACCGGCGGAACCGGAGCGCTCATGTCCTCACCGGGCCCGAGACCACTGCACCTCACCCGAGCCTCTCTGCGCCGTTAAATATTCATAGTCACGATCTGAGTGTCAAACTTGATACTCCGGTGCCTGGAGAGACAGATGAGAACCTTCACAGCCATTGCTGTCACGTTATGAACATCTGCATGAGCTTTAGATGAGACTCGGATGAGATGAGTAGCTGGATCTATACAAGCAGGACGAGATTCACTGCAGCACCTGCAGTCTGACACGCTGAGGGCCTCCACTGGGTCAGAAACCCTCTCTATGTCATCCGAGTCCACTGATGCTGGAGACACACATGCATGCATACATGTATGCGCAGTCGCATACACACTGATGCTTATACAGGGGTTTGCACACACACATGCCTGCATGCATGCATAGTCACATATATGTTATGTTGTTTTTATATCTGGCTTCTACGCTTACTAGGGTGGACGGTATATTGGTGGTTAAACTGGTATTAGCAGATACTACCATGTTTTTTTTTTAATTATTACTAGTATTTTTAAATTATTATTTTTATTAATATAATTTGGGTCAGAATTAGGTGCTGATCTTTTTTTGTGTGTGCCATGTTTATAAAGGTGTCCATCCTTTTTCTCAATGTTAAAATAGTTGTAATGCCTGATCGTAAATGTAAAATGTAAGTTTATTTTTTTAAGCATGCAAACCCATAGAGACTCATTATATCAGTCATATTTGCCATAAAAAAAATATTGGTTATCAGTATCAGGAAAAATACCTTAATTTTAAAATTTAATAAAAAAAATATTTAAAAACATTTTTTTTACAATTTTAATTTGTCATATTTATAATGTTTTTTACTAGTTAAAACCTCTTGAAATGTCCTTAGAAATCTGTTTCAACAGATTGTACTATACTAAATTGCTTTTAAAATTGGTCTTGGCATGCATCTCTGATTAAATGCATGCACACATACATGCACTCATTCGCATGCATAGATGCACGCAGATTCATATGCTTGTTCTCTGGACGCTGATGTTTGTTTGCGATGAAAGGATTATTTGCTTCTGCAGGCTGGATGAAATGTGACGCATCATAATCCCGGTGACAGCTGCGGAAAGATGAGCCACAGACAGACAGAAAGAGAGCGAGAGAGAGAGAGACAGGCAGTGAACATGATTGGAGGGACTGCGCTGTGACTCAACCAGACGCATAAAAAACAAGACGGGAATGGAGACTGGAAACTTCCTCGCTGCGTCAAAGTTCCTCTTTTAAACGGGTAAACGGCCTGTTTTCGTCTCGAGTGCTTCAGTAATGTGTTGTACCGCCATCCCCGAAGTGTCGTCCTTCCTCTCAGGCGAGGTTACGGCAGGTTAACCGCCACCTGAGGCTTAGAGAGACTGAAGGGCCCGCGGCCCTCGCAGACCTTTGGGGAAAACGGCACCCGTGGATCCTGTCAATCACAGCCACTTCCTGATGTTGATCTCTGGCAGACTAGAGGAGATGTCTGACCCTCCAAACTGAGCTTAAGAACCATAGACCTTTGTGTTTGAGTGTATTTATGTGTATGAAAGACAAACAGAGGGACGCAGCGTGTGTGTTTCTAAGTTGCTCGTGGCAATGGGGAGTTCTGCTTCGTCTCTGACCACGGACAGAGAATCAGATCACGGGTTCGGTACGGCTCCGTTCCCGCCGGCCGCTCCGATGGGCTGGCTCAGGACCAGCCACAGCAGTCCGGTGTGGGGAACCACTTTCATCACACGCCAACAGCAGCCTATCCCACATAGAGAACGCAGGTAAACGCATGCACGCACCAACATCACCTGATCAGGTGATTTAAGGTCAACATGACATCAAATTGACTATTTACACACTCAAAAATAATAATATTAAGGCCTAAATTTAAGATGTATGCATTTGAAGCGCATGCATTTGGATTAGTTTAAACATAAACTAATAAACCTAATGTGATTCATATTTGTCAATCATGCATCAATAAAACAGGCCACTAAAAAACTCAAGGCATAGTTTGATTTTATTTCAATTAAAACACATTTATTCAAATTAATTGTGAAAATAATTAAATTTATTCAGTTAAAAAGTGAACATGGTTAAAATATGGAACAACCAATATTCAATTAGTTAAAATGTAAGAGATTTAAACAAATTGGATTGATTATTTATCTTGTGTATTTAAAACACTTAGTTTTTTTTGTTACTATTACAGAAATCTGACCTGTTTCTTTTATGTATGACTGACAAATATGCATCACATTACATTTATTAGTTTGTTTATGTTCAAACTGTGTAATCCAAATGCATGGAAATGTAATTCAAATACATAAATCTTAAATTTAAGCCTAAATATATTTTGAGTGCACGGTCCTGGTCTTTTTTTGTGAACGTTTTATCCGTGCATGTATATATTATACCACTTTACACCATTCAATAATCCAGTCCTGCCCTAGATTTCGTTTGGAAATGCATAAAATGAGTTGAGAATGTTATTTCAAGTTCATTTTGCATTCTTGGTTGTTGATGCATTTTGAACTACCATTCCGTTTTATTCAGCAATGATGCATTAAAATTGATCAAGTAACAGTAGAGTTTTAAATGTTACAAAAGATTTCTATTTCAAGTATTATCCTGCTTTCCATAAAAATATGAAGCAGCACAACTGTTGCATTGCACTTACAGCATTGATAATAATCAGAAATGTTTCTTGAGCAGCAAATCAGTATATTAGAATGATTTCTGAAGAATCATGTGACACTGAAGACTGGAGTAATGATGCTGAAAATTCAGCTTTGAACCCGTGAGGTTTCGTGTGTGTGTGTGTTGATAACACATATCTTTGAAGTTCTTCTCTGTTTCACAGATGTTAATCATGTTTGCGTTACATGTCGAGGCAGGTGTGGTGGAGCTGAATCTTCAGCATGTACGTTGAAAAGAGTAGCTAAGTGCTGATGTTCATTTAATGCGATAGTTCATTCAAAAAGGAAAATCCTGTCATCATTTTCTCACCTAAATCTGTGAGGCTTTCTTTTTCTGTGGAACACAAAAGAAAATGTTTAGTAGACTATTCATGCTGCTCTTTTGCATACAGTGAAAGTGAATAAAGGAGGATTTCTGAGCTCCAAAAATGACAATTTATAATTGAATAAAGTGCCTCAAGACAAAGTTTCTCATCATCAAAACATCCAACGTAATAGATTCTTGGTGTCTTGTCATTAACATCTTGAGTCGCCATATTTGAATGTACACAAAAAGGGAACTGAGGGACTGAGTGAACATTTTAATATGCAGTCATTAAAATGATTTCATTTTTCCTCAAAGGTCTTTTCCTCATACAAAGTTACTATTTGGCTTCAGAAGAAGTTTGACTTTTAGTATGCAAGTAATATATTTTTGGGGGTGATTCAATTATGGAAGAAGTTTAATTTTTGGGGTGTCTATGCTGTTATGTTGAGATCAGCTAATCATAATTGAGGTCATTTGCATAAAGAAGTCTTCATTGTGCAATAACAAAATGGCCTGTTAAGGTTCAGAGAGAGGGTGGAAAACGCTCCTAATGTATAAAATTAAATTACCACAAGAAACCTGCTTTTAGGTACATGGTTATCATTGTAAGTGAACCTAAGGGACAAAAAGAAAACGCTAGTGTAGAATATTTAAGCGAGTTAACCTATCCATCCAGGCATACGTTGTAAGGAAAACAGAGGTTCAGCTGTTAGGCTTGCAGATACGTCCATATATTTTTTTCTGCAGCACCATCTGCTGTACACGGCTGTTCATTTCCAAAAGTTCAGGGAGTAAAACAAACGGCTGTCACCAACCTTTTTAACAACTGACACGCCACAGACAGACTCGACGGGGCAGCCGCTCAAACAACGGCGTTTCACAAGAAACAAGCTCTCAGCTGGAGTCACATGGCACAGGACGAGGCGCGTATAAATTATTCTTACTGCTAAAACAATTCTGTCATATTATTTTTATAAGGATTGAGCAGTGCAAGAACTCCACATGTCCTTGTGTTTTTTTGTTTTTTAAAGGATTTCTCATGTTAACAGAATCCAGGCAGCTTCAGAAGCACTTTATGTAATGCTTTTCCGTCTGTGTCAAATTGTGAGCCATTTCTATGTGTTCAGATTTGCGCGTTTACAACTCCAAGCATCTTAAATGATGGTCAACTAGTGCCCAACATCCAGCTAGTGAGCGTTTGTGGACTGCAGTCTTCAAGTCATATATTTTCAGTGGGGTTTAAGTCTGGGCTCTGACTAGGCCATGCAAAGACATGAGTGCTGTAGGACGTCCCAGTGTGACATGTTGTCCATGAATCGAGCTGTACGTCTCTATTGTGAGTGAGTGTGTGTGTGTGTGTGTGTAGGTGTGTGTCTGATCTTTATCTGGATGTTTCCTGAGTGTTTTATCGGTAGAAAGTGAGTCGCTGTCCTCTGAGGCTTTACTGAGGATTTATTCCCATAGCAACAAGCTCCTCGCTTTACTGGAGGAATGCTGTTATTTGGATGCTGAGCTGGATTGGATTTCCACCAGACATATCGTTTGGTGTTGAGGCCAAATAATTCCATTTTAGTCATAAAATGAGTTGAGAATCTACAAGGTTATTTTTATTATAGTCATTTATTATTTATCTTTATAAAATTATTATATTGTATGTGTATATATAAAAAATATATACTTAATTATATTTATTATATTAAAATATAATCTCTGAGGCTTTACTGAGGATTTATTCCCATAGCAACAAGCTCCTATCACCTCAGCCAATCACAATTCAGAATAAACTCTCCCTGCTTGTCTCTCTAACACACACACAGTTGTTTAGTGTGGTTTAGTATGTTACTTTCAAAAGTCTGTCTTATAAACTAAAATGCCAGGATCATCATATTTTTATTGGTTCGTTGGGAAATATGCTTTCATGTATATCAGGTTGAGGCAAGTTGTTAATTGTAATTTATTAATTATTATTTATTGGCTGAAACAGTGACTTCATATTTCGGTGTTACCTTTTATACTTTCTTTTTATTGGCCAATAATGATGCAAATGCAAATACAGTAGCTATTTTGTAGCTGAGACTTTAAGGTTTGTGTATATAGTAGTTGACTTGTGCTAAGAAATATTCACTGGAGTAAAAGTGTGACCGTCTCTCCTGTAGAGGACACATCAATCCTGAATGCACACTTCCATATTAATTCATAAAAATAGTTTGATCTTTGAATTCTCTTTCACCTCGTATGTCCTTTCCTCGTTTGCGTAATGAAAGGTGTTTCCTAACCTCAGATTTCATCTGTCCCAGATTGTCTCGATCTTCCTTATGTGACTCAAATGTGACTGTTTTAAATGGATTCTAGTCAGCATTGTTCTTACATGATGTTCATCAGCCCAAAGCCAAAAACATTATGCTGTTGGAATGCTGTTGTATCGCATACTCGGAAAAACAATTTCCGCCAATAATTCCCTGCTTTCCAGCAGTGTTAATAGGTCACCGAACACACCCATCATGCACTGCAGAATGCACACAATATGATCAGATACTCAGACAAGCTTTGATTCTTTGCATTATTTATCAGCTTGATCCTCCTTGAGCCGACGGTTAGTTTCACTACTGAGTCAGTCGTATAATGCACACACACACACACACACACACACACACACACACACACACAGGGGGGCGGGGGATGAGTACTCACTTTTCTAATAATACTGGCTGCCTTTTAAAAAAATTAAAACTACAAAAATTGAATAAGCAAACATTAAGTGTGCAGAGGTAGAGAATAAAGCATGTGAATCTCATATGTTTTCCATCTCTTCCTCTCAGCTGTCAATTTGATTGCTATTTCTACAGTCTAATTCACACACACACACAGGGAGGAGTGGGATGATGGCCAGTTCTGTTAGACCAGTGCTAATGACTGTGACTCACAGTACAAATGTCTTGCTGCATGTATGTGATGGTTTTTGGAGACACGGGGCCAAATGTCTCGCACTAGGGATGTAACGATTCACTCAATTCACAATGCGATAGGATTCACAATACTGATTTCACGATACGATTTTCTCACAACCTTTTTAACAAAATGAGATTTAAGACAAATATAAATGTAGAAATATAAATGCTTGGACAAAATGCTGCGCATTTCTTTGTGGAATTGAAATGTCAAATAACAAAACTAAATTGAAATTTTAAAACAAGCCCCAAATCGAATAAATAAATAACACAAATAAAATAAACCTTTCATATGAACAATTTAAAACCATTTAAGATTAGAGGCTGTGACTGCATTTTAATCACAAGCATGAGCAATTTTAAATTGTTTAAATTAAATTCGATTGTAATTTCGAAATTTGAAGCAAAATCTGAATGCTCTGACTTTAGTTTTGTGAAACTATACCACATAAAACATCTGCACAAAACAAAAACAGCTGACAAACTGAATGAGAACGCAGATTCACTTTCTGACAGCAGGTGGCAGTCATGGAACAGCAGCGATACGGTGTTTCCTTGGTTACTGCTGTAAACTAAGCAGCGCAGCGCTACTGATGAAAAGAAAATATCATCTAAACTTTTCTAAAGACAGTCAGTTCCCCTCAGAGATACATTCATATAAACTCCCACCCCCAACTGTACCGCGATTCGTTTAACATCTCATCCGATTTGAATCGTCACATGTTTGTATCGATTTTCAAGTGGCTACAGTATATAAAACAGTTTTGAAAGGGTCTTCGTGGTTGCCAGATATCATGTTTGCTTGCTCTTGTTATTATTTTAGGTGTTTTCTCTTTTGATTCATCAAATGTTGATCTTTAGTCTGTCCTTTTTCATGTAGAGTAATGGTATTTCATAATTGATAAAAATGGTCAAATTATGTGAATTTTTTTAGTGGTTGAGATCTAGGAAGCAGGGTGGATTATTATTATTATTATTATTATTATCATTATATAATGATAAATTATTATATAAAATTATGGAAGTATTATGTTACATATTTATATAGAGAGACTTCTCAAGTGCACTGAAAAAGTTTATTAATTT